ATCACAGACATGACAGGATCTGCTAACCATGAGTTTGAATCCCAGTTCCACTCTGATTTTGCTCCTTGGTCAGTCAGAATGATCCCCCATCTGTTGGCTCCACCAAAGTAGCTACATCTATGCCTTGCTCACTGTTGGTTTTCTTCCCCAATAAAGCTGCTATGTTGCTGTGAGGTAACTTAATATGTATTCACAAAGTTGAACCATAGTGCTGACGGGTGACAGATCATTTGGATGTTCCAGTAGGATAAGTATGAGCTGCATGTTAAAAGCAATCTGTTTGTCTGAAATAGTTTTGTGACATGAAGTTCTTAAAAGAAAGTGCACCAACATCAAACAGAACACATCTAAACAAAAATCTTACCAAACTTCTGCAGTGATAGAAATAGAATAGAAATTTACCTCATTGAAATGTCAAGAATAGAAATGTATCTCATTGAAATGTCAAGAATAGAAACTATGGATCCGTGTTGTATCTAAGAGAGTGTTCCTAAACTGACACCATCTTTACAAGTTAGTGGTTATCCTAGTAAGAGGGACATAAAATAAAGAAAACAGGCTAATTTCTGATACCTGAAAACTAAAAGTACTTGTATAGTTCCCAAGAGGACATGTTGCTAGCTGATTGGAACTGACAGGAGGATACTGAGGATGTTATAAGAGGACCTACTTAAGTAGACACTTAGGCTGAGGAAGAAAACAACACCTCACAAAATACCTTCAACTTGTCAATGACAAATAGGTTCCACTGGATCAATCTATAAATATACATTTTAATGCTGAGGTTGTAACCTGCACCCAGATTTCTGTGTAGCAGTGTTCATCAAACACCTGCTGGTAGTGACACTCAGGGATATTCCTCAACAAATCGTTGTAGACGATCAACAGCATTGTTGGCTAATTTGTAGCGTAACAGCTAAGTCTTTTAATTCTAACATAGGATAGTAACATACCTTTAAAAGAAGCAGTACCATCCAAGCTGCCGGCAGCATGTAAGATGAGTGTTTCGACAAGGAGATGATTTAGACTGAAGATTCAGAAGGAGGATCAAGCCATGCGAGTGGGAGACAAAAGGAGATCTGATGTCTGTCATACCTGGTCGAACGTCACTAAAAATAGGCTTGATTGGCTCACAGATTAATGCTGTGTAAAGGTTTCAGAAATAGATGACCATTCAGCCAACATTTAACAGTTTACTTTCAGTGGGGGTGAGAATGTGGAGGTTCGGTGTTTCCTGGCTGCCATACAGGAGGGAGGGTTACTTTACTCCACGGATTGATGAGATTGGAGATAGTGATTCATCAACTGTAAATGATTAGCCTTTTTATTTGAGATTGAAAGTATTGATGATTCTTCTTGGAGATTGCTTGTAACAATGATTTATTGATGGCCTCACATGATGGGGAAATAAATGCTTTGTTTATTGTTTGCTTGTCATGGCTGGAAATGTTCTAGGAAAACACTCTCTTGCATTAAGTTTGAGTCGTAATCCCTTTACAATATTCCCACATGCTACAAGACAGATTTAGCTTGTCAAAATTGATTTACTTTCATTTGAAAATGATGTCTGTTATGTTTAATACTTTCATGTGAAATAATCCCCATGGAAGATATTAGATGAAAGAAATATTTGTAATCTTATTTGCGTGAAATGCATTGGTTATGCATTTGGCTGAGAAGTTCATTGGGAATGAGCGATAGCTTTCATAGATTAAAAAATACCTTCAGCTATAATAAACTATCATGCTTTTCCGAATCATGACGTTGATGTAAGTGTACCGCTGGCAAAATTTGCAGATAAGTTAGATATACTGTAAATAGATGTCCTCATGTCAGGGTCAGGTTGGACCTGGCGGTTCTAGATTGTCACTGTCGGCCATGGACACGAATGTCGTGCTTAGTTAATCTGTTTCAGTTTTTTTGTGGTCGCTTGGCTGACAATTTTAAAACTATTCAGTTATTTGAATTTTTATCTAATCAAATGTCTTTCATGAGCTGTTGGTTACTGGTTATGTCAGTGTGATTTGATATTTATTAAATAACATTGAATCAACAAACCTATTTCTTTTACCTTTCTGTTTTCAAAATTGATATTGAGACTTTCTTTGCTGTGTTGAAAATTATAGGGTGTTTGTTCTTATATAAATATGGGCTCTGTGCATTGTTTTTATGAAATTGAGGGTGAAAACGTTTGCTCGCTTTTATTTTACAAAACCCAAAGTAGATGCCTTTTATATTCTACATAGATTAGACTTGTAGAAACATAGACTTTCAAGAGGAGTGTGAAATTAAATGTCTGCGTACAAGACAATTGTAACATTGCCACCGGATACTAAACAGCGAATTAGCATCATTATCATATCTCTGTTACCTCCTAAAGTTTTTTATCCAGGATAATCTTGGTGAGAATTTATGTAGGTGGTTTCCTATTGAGACCTAGCCCTCAGGTGTACCAGCACCTGCTGAGGTAGATCTGTACAGAACAGTGAGAGCAGGATAACTCACCTGATATCCGTGCCAAGTGCCAAACTGCTCACCTCATATTATTAGCTGGCCTCATCTCATTCAGCCTGTCTTTTCCTTTACCATATATATTACCTGTTATCCCAAGTTTACTACCCTTGACAGAAAATGCCCCCACTGTGGAATATTTCAGTGTTTCATGTAATGGGAAAGGCTTTTGTGGGACACTGTTATGAATTCAGGGAGGCCTGGGGGTCTTTACTAGTTTCTCATGTCAAAATGAAGGACTCCTTAAGTCTGTTTGAATGTTATATTTATTATTAAAAGGATCCCTTGAATTTCAATTTATATTTTTTGATACTCAGTATAGATTAATGGCATTTTTAGAAATGTTATTAAAAATATTTCAGCACCTTCATGACATAGAATATGAAGTATGGGTTTCTCTGTACCCATGTTGGAACTGAACCTAGACCTTTTGTGTGATCACTGGGATACCAATCTGAGTTGAGAGTCTTACAGGATCTTATACATGCTGCAGTTAGAAAGTTCAATATGTTTTGTTGTATCAAAATCAGCATCTAGGAATATTTATTCATTCACATGTATCATTTGATGGAAACTGTAGCTAGATAAAATGTAGGTGTTCAGTCTCTTGACAGATGGTTGTTTTCTGATGAAAAATGTGGGAAAACAACATATGAGAGGCTGTCAATTATGTTCCTCAAACCTGAACCTCTGACATTGTTTACTACAATAACATAATTAATGACGATGCTATTCACTGGAGACATGTGGGTTCTGAAATGTTATCTATAAAGCCCAAGGTGTCTGTTGAACTGTCTTAATAAGCTGTTTGAAACTTGAAGTCAGATCATGCGACGCTGGAACCTCTAGACACTGTCTGCTATTTATCAAAGCAACATCAAAGCCATCATGATTAAAGCTTCAAGAAAAACATAATTGATATCCAAGTTTTGACTGATCTTACCTTTATAACATGGCTTATACTGGACTCATCACCCTTGTTTTCAATGCCAAAGCCACAAGATGAAATATGTTTCTAAAACACATTGTCCAACAGTTTTATACCATTTCTCCTGTCAGAAACACCTTATCTTGGAATATTTCGTCTGTAAAGATAACTAATTGATAGTCTACTGTGGGTTTGATGTCATAGAAATTACAGTAGCTGATACCAGACATAAAACATGATAGGGTTCTTGTTGATCATGTAATATAATAGAGGAAGCTGTCAGGTCCTTTTGACACATGGGTTCCAAGGGGTATTTGTGACTAGTACTTATCAAGTACTGGTTGCTATCATATCCCAGTCAGTGAGTGAGTGAATTGAGTTTTATGCCACACTCAGCAATATTTCAGCTAGATGGCAGCAGTCTGTAAATAATCGAGTCTGGACCAGACAATCCAGTGATCAACAGCATGGACATTGATCTAAGCAATTGGGATATGATGCCATGTGTCAACCAAGTCAGCGAGCCTGACCACCCAGCCCCATTAGTCGCCTCTTAGACAAGCATAGGTTACTGAAGATCAGTTCTGACCCGGATTTCAGGGGTATCATATCCCAGCAGAAGCACTATTGAATTATGTCCAGCAGGCTGTCTGTTGTGGGACGGACCACAGTCTTTCCCAATAGCAGTTTGATACACTAGTATCACTTTCATTGACAGTATGAAAAAGGTTTGAAGGAAGAGAAGTGTAATTGGTCATCTATGTGCTTTGTAGATATCTATTGCTGCATCTGTCAAAAACTATTGACGTTAAGTTTAAAGTGATGGGCACACTGACATTGTATTTGAGAAAGGTCTATTATTCATCAACACGACCCAGTGTGTAATATATTTACAATGTTGAATTTGTGTTTCTAGCAAATTCAACAGTGAAATTTTGTCTTTCACTTTTGATGTTTGAGGATCACAGACTCCTTTGAGAACACTTAGAACTGGGAGTCTTCTCAGAAAAGCAGAATATCAAATGATTCATGGAATCAGTCATGGAAAATTTATTTCATGAGCCAAGTTTGTTTCATTGCTGCAGCTGAAGCATCGTGTCCATTAAAGTCTCATCTAAATGAATAACTTATTTCCAGCACCAGACTTCCCGGAAACAACAAACAGTATCTGTCTCCCACTTTGTATACAGCTGAGTGTTCAACTTTGGTATTAAGGCATTTCTGCTAGTGCCAGTTGAGAAACAAGTTGTCATGGAAACTGTTTGTCATCAATCTTTAACAAAAATCTATATTTGTATATTTTTGGATGATAAGATTCAGCCGCCAGTTACCAGCTACTGATAGGTCTTGTATTTGTTGGCATTGTTATGCTCTTATTGCCATGTGCTTAACATGTGTATATTAAACTATTGCGTGATGGATTCGCTATAAATGTGACAAATGCAACATGTACTTGTTGAAGTGGCTGTGGATGTTTGTAGTTGCCTACCTGGTGTTGCTTGCTGTAGAGTTCATTACACTGATAAAAGTCTTATAATTGTCTAGTTAAAGGGGTATACTCTGTGTATATATACTCTCACTACCGCTGTTGATTAAACATACAGGTTTATTGAGAATACATTCCAGGAATCATTTACCTTTACAGCGTTGCTTTCATTTTGATTTGATGCCCTTAAAACATTCATATAGGTAACAGAGGATTTCATCAATAGAGAGGTTACATTAACATGTTGTATGAAGTCAGATTGTATCTTACTGTGTGATTTGCTCTCACATAAAATGGCAGATTAACATTTACATGCACATGCTATCCAAACAAGATAGTCTGGAAAACCACTGTTCCTCCATTCAAGAGATGCAAGACTGCTAACAGCAAAGAGTGAAAAAGTCACCTACATGTCAATTGACATTTATAAGTATCTTGGAAAAAAGGTGGGATCTATTTGAAGAAGGGCACATAATGGGTGTATATCTCCGATAAGATAGGTGCTGAAGACGTCAGTCCGAACAGGTGGAAGGACCTCACTTTCTCTGTCTTTCTAAACTGATTTTCTAGTTGGATACCATGACAGTAACCCCAGGTAAGAGTGTGTTGAGGAAATGTCACCTTGAGTGGTATAACCAAGATTGGCATTAAACAAGGTTGTTCTTGCTTGTCATTGAAAAATTGGACCCTCACTCCTGACCTCTATGGTGACCCTCAATAACTTGGACCTCACTCCTGACATCTATAGTGACCCTCGATAACTTGGACCTCATTCCTGACCTCTATGGTGACCCTCAATAACTTGGACCTCACTCCTGACATCTATAGTGACCCTCGATAACTTGGACCTCATTCCTGACCTCTATAGTGACCCTCGATAACTTGGACCTCATTCCTGACCTCTATGGTGACCCTCGATAACTTGGACCTCATTCCTGACCTCTATAGTGACCCTCGATAACTTGGACCTCATTCCTGACCTCTATAGTGACCCTCAATAACTTGGACCTCATTCCTGACCTCTATAGTGACCCTCAATAACTTGGACCTCACTCCTGACATCTATAGTGACCCTCGATAACTTGGACCTCACTCCTGGCATCTATAGTGACCCTCAATAACTTGGACCTCACTCCTGGCATCTATAGTGACCCTCAATAACTTGGACCTCACTCCTGACATCTATAGTGACCCTCAATAACTTGGACCTCATTCTGGCTCAGTGACCCTCTATAGTGACCCTCTATAGTGACCCTCGATAACTTGGACCTCACTCCTGACATCTATAGTGACCCTCAATAACTTGGACCTCACTCCTGACATCTATAGTGACCCTCGATAACTTGGACCTCATTCCTCACCTCTATGGTGACCCTCAATAACTTGGACCTCACTCCTGGCATCTATAGTGACCCTCGATAACTTGGACCTCACTCCTGACATCTATAGTGACCCTCGATAACTTGGACCTCATCCCGACCTCTATGGTGACCTTCGATAACTTGGACCCTCACTCCTAATATATTTTGTTCTTATGACAAAATGTTGAGCTATTCAGGCCTGCTAACTACAAAGATATATTAACCTAAATGAAGTACATTTTCCCTGCTGCACAGGCTTGGGAGTAAAGACTTCCAACAGAGGAAGATGATGTCAATGCATTATTAACAAAGATCAGGGAGAACTGACATATAATTTGGTTTTAGTGTTTCAAGCTATGAGGAGGCAAATGTCTTAGAAACATTACCGGTACTTTAGATTTGTGTGTTTGAAACGCTCATTGTCTAATGAAGCATCTTGGGGTGAGCTGTGGGTACTGAGGCTGCTCGGAGTTTCTGCGCATTTTCTTTCATGAAACCATGTGGCTTTCTTTAAGTTGATGTCTAAACACTAAAACCATCTGGGTGTATGTCATATCACTGAGCATTTTGTGGTTGGCATTTGTTAGTTTTGATCAGAGAAGTTTTTGAGCTTTAGAGAACCCATTGAAATCATAGACACAATCTAGCAAATCTACTAAAGATGAATAGAAACATTTACCCTAAATGAATCTGCTAACACAAGCTAACTGCTAATGTTTTAAGGCCGCAGTTTTTCTCCATGTGTTTTTGAGATATTCTTGGTTTAGTTATTGGTCATTTTCATTGTTTTCATTGTACCATGTTCATAATCATCCCAGGTTTCCAGTCAATACCCATACATGCTTGAATGGTTTGTGTTTGAAAGAGATTTATCACATGATGATAATGTTCCCCAGAATGGACCATTACATTTCACTTTGTACAATTGCAAGTTTGCCCACAGGACTGATATTGTGAAATGACTTTGAATATATATTTTTTCCCTCTAAGCAACATCATCTGTAAGTCTTAAAAACACATTAGTTGATGCACAGTCTGCAAGATACATTGATTAAGTTTTCAGATTACAACTTCTTGTGGGGCTAAATGACCCAGCTAAATTGAAAATGAGGAGCAAACCAGACTATAAGCTCCAGTTACTGTCAATAGATATGTGCATGACGTTGTTCTTCAGTTGAAAGCCATACGAGAGAATCTGTTGGAGATCTATCGGTGGGATGTCTATTGACAGGCCTGTGATGTAGGGGAACAAACTATGCTGCCTCCATATGAAATGGGATCGTTTGTAGTCCCAGTGGTTCAGTGGTTTGGTAATTTGTGGTATCAGGACATAAGTCAGAACAACTCCCACACATTACCCCTCGGGAGAGGCAACCCACAGCTCTGAGTGCATCTCAAAGGTTGTATATGAGACAGCATCAGATTTTATGCATCACCATCAAAATTAAATTTGGTTACACTTATTTTCTCAATTCCTGTTTTACATTTTGTTTTGAAAATAATTGTCAAAATTAGTTTTGCCTTTGTGGACAAGAACCACAAAATAGAAAACATTACGGTGTAGTATGAAACATGACTATTTGAAAGTATTTGCCAAAACCATACCAGTGTAGGGTTCACTTCAGAAGCTTATGTTTTAGCTATGAATAGTTTTTTAAGCATTATTACTGTCAAGCCTTCAAATGTTTCTGTGTTGAATTCAAACAGACCATACAAAGCCAATCAGGGCATGACCTAAGTAAAATAGGTACTGATGCCCTAGAATTTATGCAGTACAAATTGTATACAGGTCAGTGGAATCTATTTTCTTATCATGATTGTAAGGACAGAAGCCTGGAGGCCACACTCCCTGCCCTAGAAGTTGAGCTTCAGAACGTGCAACCTAGGGCGTGAAGAGCTAATTAAGTTTGATTCTCCTGCTCTTTCCCAACAGTAATCAAGTCTTGTCAGTATTTACATTAATTGCCAGCTGCCATTGATTATTTGTACAAATCAGTGACTGACTTTTTCACAAGCTTGAAGGAAACTTTAGAAATGGGAAGCACTAACGTTTTGTATTGGGGAGTGGGTTGTTGTAACAGTACCCAGATTGGTGCGGATCTAACAACAGTAAATGAAACTTACTAGACAACAGGGGCAGCTGATAATGGAGTTTACAGCATACTCCATGAAATATACAAAGATTGACAGGAAAGGTGATAGATGTTTCAATTTGGGGGTGTAATCAGAGGTGGTAACTTTGACTTTCATCCTTCCCCCTCTCCCAATTATTCTGCTATTAGGCAGCCCCTTCTTTTACTGGCTATCTTTTTAATGTTTTACATGGCCGTAGAAGCGCTAAAATAGAAGATCTTAGAAATCCTTTAGGTTCCTTTTTCGTTTTAGGACTAACACATTTAAAGAAAATGGTATATCCCAAGAGTCACCCTTTTGTGGGTTTTTTTGTAAACTTTTATCGCAAGAGAACACCTATTTTAAAAATCAAAGTAATTTCCTACCTGTGCTTTGCAATTGCTCTTAATGTTCCTTAATCCACACAGAAGTGTTTGGGAGAAAGATTCAACATAAATACGTACTTTCCTCGTGGCTATGAGATAGTGATCTTTGTTCTTTCTTGTTGGCAAGTCATACCATGAAGACTCAGTTGCCTGCATCAAAGGTTGAGCTCAATTGCAAGATAGACTTCAGAGAAATCCATAGTTTTTATGACTATCTGCTTTGGGGTATTGTTTTATCACCTATTCAAATTGTCCATTGTTTTTCATTTCTTCATTCTTCATTATTTCTATCATTTTTCGTGCAATTGATGCCCAAGGTGGTTTGTAGAATGATATCAGATTTATGGACCTTGTGTATTACTTTAGGAGTATTCATTAAAAACTTGATTCACAGTGCTAGTGAAAAGATCTAGATTTATGTCTTCTTTGAGAAACTGTACCAATTATTTTGAAAGAGAATGCCCATCGGGGTATTTTCAAGGTTTGATAAGATGAAGCTTATCATATTACTTTTACAGTGACATAAAAACATTGTTGCAATGGGTGACTGTGGATTTCATGAAACCTATCAAAGTTACTTGGTTTTAGTAACTGAGTATGAAAAGCTCATGCTCTTGTGAGTAAAGAATATCATTAAGAGGAAGAGTTGTCTGCTGAAACAGTCATTGCCCAGTGGGATAGCTTGTGTCCAAGTCTTCTATTCTGTGGTAAAATGAGAGCAATTTCTCCCAGCTTTGTGGTCATTTAGTTGACCATGATGCAGGCTGATTATACAATGTTGTGCTGGTAACCTAGACCTAATCCAATCTTTGGAAAATAATCATTATAGTCCCAGACAGAATAGTCTCAGATGGTAAAAGGGGAGGTCTAGGGAGGCAGACGGCAACCGGAGCAGACGCAGTGATGAGCAGACGCCAACTTGTGCTCAGTGATAGAGAGGAAGGATGATCCGAGAAGAATAGGCAGCACTAGGTCGGGCACACTAGAGAAAAGCTTTCATCCAAATGGGATTAGTTTAAGATTCACTGTATATTTGATTATAATCTAAGACAGCCCTGATTTAATATGATTCCACTTAGTATGCAAACCTGTTGTGTGAATGCTAATTTTAGCCAGGTTGCTGATTTCCATGCCAGTACTTTATGTTAAGGTTAGACATTTCAGACAGTTATCAGACAACTGGAATATGTTAGTTTAATTGAGTCCAATGCAATAGAAGTGATTGTTAAGGTTTTATTCCGTTGTTAGTATGAGGTGTATTTGTAGGTTGAAGGTTGGGATATGACTGAACTACTTTCAAAAGCAGTGGTAAGCTGCTCTTATACAACCACTTGCCTGTGAAACTCCATTACAACTTGAAATTTTGTCTTTCATCATGGGATCATTAATGTCTGTGCATGAGGTGAAGGTGTCATTTTCTTTAGCTGATAATGCAATGCTGTTAATTTAGATTCTGACAAGCAAGTGAGAAAGTGGTTCTATCAACATTGGTGGTATCTGGGTCACTGTGTCCATTTCAGCAGTTACCGAAAGGCCATTTCATAACTGCATGATGCTATCAGAGTGTTCTCACATATGTAAATATTGAATAAAAGTTTAAAGTGTGATGTGCATCAGTTGTAAGGGCTGTAGACTAAACACTAGAGACCATTTCATGTTGATAGACATCTGTAGTCCTCTCTCTACCAGCCCCGAACAGTAACAGGCAAATCCCTTGTGGGCTACACCAACCCTATTACTAACAAATAGAATATTAGTGGAAGCCGGAGAGCTTACTTGCTCGTTTCCCATTTCATTTTGAACATAGTGGCATAAGGAGTCATAATTCATTACCGTCTCTCCTATCACTTGATGGATCTGTCTCTCCTCATCCTATCGAGACCAGTCCTAATACGATCAGTTGCCCTCCCAGAGCCACCATCACCAAAATTGATAGGGCCTCAGCACAACTCAAAATAGGCCCATCTGATTCTGAAAAGGTACTCTCAACTTTGAATGGTTGTGGAATATTGCACAGACATAAGTGTACTTTAAAGACTGTCTGATGGTCATATTAACTGCTTGGTGGCCATATTGAAGGGCGTGTTGAGCACACATAACTTTACATGGAGGTTCTATTTGCAGCAATTTGTTGAAGTCATTCAGATAAGTTATTACCAAAAGCCAACTTTTCATGGTATTATCAGAGGAGATGAAAACAAGGCTTTGTAGGGTTATTCGGTGAAGCGATGGGAATGACACCCACGGGTTATGGTGTTTGTGATGGCTACATGGGAATTGCTTCAACATGTCAGGTAGTTATTGTCTCCCTGTGTCCTTCTGGACCAGAGTAGACCACTGTTTGCTCACTTAGTGAATCCTGCTCTAACATCTAAGCCTCTTTGTCTGTCATTGACAATATGGTCAGGATGCGTGGTGATATTTGAAAATATTCAGGAGTATCCAGTGCTGCATACGAGATAATTTTAGACCAATTCCAATTCAGCCACGATTTAAAAATCCCAGTCCAGTAAATTTTAGTATTTGTAAGTTCAAGTTGAAACAAGAGACAGTTTTAGGCCAGAAGACAGAGGATGTTTGTCAAACACTACAATGATTATTTGTCTTTCAAACATTTTCTGAATAATCAGGAAAAGATCTTGATGGTTTGGACTTCACTGATGTCAGTACCGAAATAAGATGGGATGTTTGACAACAACCCCAAACAGCTTAGCTTAAAGTGGCCTTTTGCTTTGACACCATTTTAATTAAGTTGTCCAGTGATGTTTCATATTCATTGGAGAATGTTGGAAAAGCAAATACTTTGCCTGAAATTGGATACATTGAAAACACATAATTGCTCTTCTTGCAGAGCAAATGTTCCTCTCTGGAGTGTTTAAGGAGCTCATAGAGAGGTGTAGGTGCTGAATTAACTTTAAAATGTGGCTCCACAGCTCATTGAAACTGATCTTGATGCCAAGATTTTATTGAGCGTTCAAAAGCCCGGCGTCAGCTCAGGCATGAAGATGAGTGCTGTGATGTTGTATTATGGAACATTCACAAGAGGTCTGTGATGTACCATGCCAATCCTACCAGATAGTACAGATAGGTGTTTCCAAACAACTTTTTCAATTCCCTACATCCATTTTAATATGTTGCTGACCCAAAAGGCATTTGGAAATGGCCTTATTTCATTCAAAAACCACACAGACATATGCAGTGGTCAGTTTCTGGTTATGCTTGTTATTAACTGAACAAATACAAGCATTTCATTGAACTGAATGTAAGTCTTCACAAGAAGCATGTGCAGGCGTAGAAATACCCCCTTCTACATGTGAATTATAAGCATGGTTATATCAAGTTTATGGGTCTCATCATGACATTAATCAATGTGTAAATATAACATGGCCTATTGAAATCACTGGAATAAATATTTTTGGTTTGAAAGTAGCCTCCATCTGTATAGAGCACAGTAAACAAGTGGTTTGTATATATAGTGCAGTGTTTAATCTGAGGGTTTACTGATGGTCAGATGTTGTCAGGACTTCTGTACATTATGGGTCTTGTCTGTCATCAGGCCACACATAAACATGATTAGCTTCCCCCACAGATGGGGAACAGTCTATCTTATCAGTGACGTGTCTATGACAGGTGATAAGGGTGAACAGTTATCACAAACTGAAGTTAAATGATAAGATGTGAATGAAATATATTTTATCACTACTATTGGACTTAGATTTAGGTTCTTAAAGAGGGAAAGGTTTAATTGAATCAGAACATTTTCAAGTGCCTTGTATCCAAAATGATGGTAATTTGTTTGTGTCAATAATTAAGAGGCTACAGAACTTATGCTCAAAATAATTAATTTGATATGGGCAGGTTTTTTTACTGGATCAGAATATTGCATCCTAATTCAGTGAATATACTGAGAATGGATGATAATGATAATGAATATACTGAGAATGGATGATAATGATAATGAATATACTGAGAATGGATGATAATGCATGCACAAAGGAGTATTGACTGTTTGAATCATGTGTACATTAATAAAATTGTAGATTACATGTCACAGAGGAAATTATCCTTTCTCTTATGGAGAAATACATCTAAATACAGTGTATCAGTAGCTGATTTTCTTCAGTCAAACATTGAAATCCAGATCTGCGATAAGCTTCAAGAGCATGTATATATGACGGTAGTAACTTTCTTTGAATTAAGGTAAGTTAACTGCATGTTGCCAAGGTTTAATATCTCTTTCCCCAGGTAACTCTCAAACAGCATGCTATAATCTTCCAATATATACGACATCAGAAAGATCATTGAGAGAAATGAAATTCCGGTGTGTGAGAGATCCCTGGTGTGTGTGTGTGAGTCTCTCTCTCTCTCTCTCTCTCTCTCTCTCTCTCTCTCTCTCTCTCTCTCTCTCTCTCTCTCTCTCTCTCTCTCTCTCTCTCTCTCTCTCTCTCTCTCTCTCTCTCTCTAATTGCTGGAATATTGTAAAACCCAACTTGCTCACTCACTCGGAGAGATCCACAATTGAATTGATTATATGCTTAAAACATTCCAATTTAATATTGGGAACTAAAAACTTTAAGAGTCAGCATTCTTAGTGACATTTTAACACGAACACATTGTGCGGAGGAAACTTTTCTTGATTGAGAAACATACATTTCAGGCTATGAAAGTGAATATTTGAAGTCTTGTCCTCATAGCCAGGAATAGCCATAAGGGAGGAATTGACATAACAAAATGCATAGAAACTTGTTAAAAGTCAATCTGCGAATCTGTCACCTACTATTTGTCTGACTTGTAGACTCACTGTGAAATCTATGAAAAAACTGTAATGTCTTAATATAGACCCCAATTGATTTGGTGTGAGACTGTAACCATGACTAATTGCTGAACTTAGTCCAGATCCTATTTTTAAGCACTCATAATGCAAGTTGTGCATTTGTTAAGTGAAAGTAAATCCAGTCATACCAGGAGAATGTGGAACCTATTATCTGGCACAAAAACTCGTCAGCTTCTCCAAGCTGTCACTGGCTCATAGATGTGATAATCGCCGAGTTATTGGAGGTGAAAAGATAATGATTAAAAAAACTTGTCCCTGTTCATGTCAATTACGTGCTGTGGATCCCATCATCATGCAATAGCTTGTTGTGTCGGTGATGCCATGTAAGCTGCATCGCACTGTCAGAACCCTGTCTAGGTGCATGTAAAGAAACAGGTTCTTTGTAGAGGCAGACGTCACCATTTGTAGATTTCCACAAGAAAACTACATTGGTTACATGAGGGTTAATGTGTTTCTGAGGGGGGAAGAAAATTGAGGAAATCAATGTGGGATTTGAAAAAAATGACATTGTGAGTACTTTGGTTATTTTTTTATAACACTTGTTAATGGTTCAGTTTTTCATCTTGACTTTGGATTTTCAGCCCAAAATATCGTGCAATTCCACAGTCAGATCACACGAAGGTAGCAATAATTCATTTCAAAGGAAAAGGACCTGGTGTAGCTCAGCAGATAAAGCATTGGACTGTCATGCTGGTCTTATTTGTTGAATTTTTCAGACAAATGTTTCCCCATGGAACTTTGCCAAGGCTATGCCTTCCTTAGAGAAAATCTGACCTGCTTCACCAAGTGTGACATTCCCATGTTGGTACACTGTGAGGCCATTCCTCATCATAACTTTGCAGGAATGATGCTAAAAGTGCCATAAACCTAACTCATGCATGTGGGAAGACAATGCCAGAAGTTGTGATGTCCTGTACCTCCTTGTGATCTCCTGATTAGTGCTGATGTTGAACTGTTAAGGCAGAAGACTGAGCCATCAGGATATGTAGCTCTCCCGAACTGTCAATACACATCAATAAAAACCTTTGAATTCACTGTCCCATCTTGAGAATGTCAAAATAAAAAAAGAACTCCTTCTTTTGAGAAATTGATGGTTTAACACTGAAGGTTGGCTAGTTCTCACTTGAAGGAGGAACATGAAGCGAGAGAAGTGCTTGTCTCCCTGAACTCAGAGCTACATGGGTTCGTTTAACAGTTATAAATGGTAGCTGAATATTAAACAGACAAAAAGCAACAAAACACCCGGCATGATGCTGTAAAGCAGGAATAATCACTACGCCTCTTATTTCCACATGCAAGAAGCATGCTTGGATATTCACATAATCAATAGGATCCTTAGCTTGACCAGTCTGGAAGAATAAATCTCCTAGCTCTACGAAACATAGTAGATTACAAGGATCATTGAGAGCTCAGTCATTGGATGTGTTCCATCCTTTACATGGAAAGATAAATCTATTTACATACTTTCACCAGTTGTTGGCAATAAATCTTGTAGATTTCCTCAAGTAAATCTGCACGACTGGACACTTACAAGGTTTTCCCTAAATCACTTGCCATTTGCTTGCCAATGACCCGTTCCTAATCGGCCAGTGGCTAAATGATTGAGGTGCTTTAGCCAACAACAACACATGGGATGAGGGATTTGTTTACTTGCTATACAAACAGATTGACTTTCTGCTCAGCTATTGCAGAGTAACTTCAGCTAACATGATGCCTGTCGTACCTGTCTACAGATAGGGAATTCTCTTCTCTTTTCTTAGTATGCTTTTTTGAGGTATTGATTGATAAGATAAGATAAGATATTTATTGCATAGCATTCCATGAAGAAACAGTGGCAATATTCTATAAGCTACAAATATTTACACAGTAGGTACAAGAAATATAGATACATTTCACACATAAATGATGTACATTATAACAATTTTTTAGAAATCATGTGGTATAATGACATGGAAATAATATATAAGGAGACTATGGTAAGATATAACATTCATTTAAAGTTGTAAAGATGGTGACATATTTTGGAAATTAATTCAGGACTTCTGTTCGTGAAAATTATTAAGAATTGTTCTTTTTTTTGAGAGTGTAGTAAATTCTTGGTCATAATATAGCATTGTGTGTATAAGTGATTCCCTTTCTTCGTTATACTTGGTACATGATATTATATGGTGTTGCTCATCGTCTAAGACACTGCACATTTCACAGAGACGTTGTTCTAAAGGGGTTGCAGGTTTTGTATATCTTCCAGTTTCAATTTTGAGTTTATGATTACTTAAACGTAGTTTTGAAAAATGTGATCGATGAGCTTTGTTTTTACAATGAAATAGGTAATTTTCGAGTTTTATAGATGACTTGACCAATCTGTATGTTCTTAATTTGTTATTTGAAGTAGGGGAATCACTTAGTGAATGCTTGAACATGTCTTCACATTTTGACTGGAGTATATTCATGGTAGATAGATTACATTTATTCGTGTTCGCTATTTCAAAAGTTTGCTTTATTTTATTAAGTTTATGAACCCAGCCTATATTGTGATCACAGAGACTGATATTTGCTTCCATGGCATCTTTAAGGATGATATTTGTTGTATTATCTATATGGAACTTGTAATCAATTATCTTTTTGATGATTGGTACTAGTAATGGGTACACACCTAGTTCTGCGCGACAGGCCCAGTTATGTGTTTTCTTGCCTACTCCTAGCAATGATTTACAAAACTGAAGCTGTAGTTTTTCTGGGAGCAGTGTGTCAATATTTTTTAACATTGTAAAATCTACACCCCAGACTTCACAATTGTACAACATTGATATGTATCATGGTTCATGTACAGTTATGAATGGTTTCTGTTCTATATTCATTATCATGTAGCAAGTTGTTATGTTGCTGCTGCTGCTGATAATGAGGAGGATACTATAAATGATGATAGTTATACAATGTGTCATTCTTATTGTGTTTATGGTTGAGCTGTTCTTGTTGGAAATGATGAAAATTCTGATAATGATGTGGACACTGACGATAATAGTGTTAATACTAATAGTTCAAATAATAATAATATGATGATGATGATTGGGGAAGTGAGTTTCAATCTTTTGATGATGATGATGATGGTGATGGTGATGGTGATGATGATGATGACGATGACGATGACGACAATGACAATGACAGTGATGATGACTGTAAACATGTAGGACTATTTCTGGATGCTTTGTGCACTACAGCTAGTCCAGTGATGGACAATTTCCAGACATGGAAACTATGCACGGTCAGTTAAGTACCAATGAACTGGTTCATCACCTTCGCCTACTACCGACAAATTGAAAGGAGAAGGATTCCAAGCACTTCAGTGTTTGAAGTTGTGTCAGGATGCTATTATTTTCACACTTATCTGCATTTTATAGGTGTCTGGATACAGGCCGAGGTCAGCACGCTAACAATGACAGGAAGGGAGTTCAGCAAGTAGACTTAGCCAGTGTATCACTTCTTCAGCCAGTCATTTCAACTGCTGGGTCGAAGTGTTGATTTAAGGCATGTTTAGATTACCAGGCTGATTTAAGCCATGTTGACAGAGGCTATTTCCCCTTCTGACCACCAATATATGTCACCTGGTAATTTCAACAAATGTGTAATTTCATGTCTAGACATTCTAGAAGTTTGCCTGGAGGCAATGTGGGGCATTAAAAGGTGAATTGCTTGTCCAGTACCCAGACATGGCCCCTGTTTGGGAACAGCTGGAAGTAGCTGAACCTGTTTGTTCAAAATAAACTTTCTTTTGTTCCTGATTTGATTTGATAAAAGGAAGAATAAAATGGATTTAGAGGAAGAGTTTAAATGTCAGGTAGGGCTTTTGAATGAAGAAAAGGTTTAGTTGTATCACATGATCCATGTCAGTTTTTGAGATAGTGACTAAGTGTATCAATAGCTGAACTTACAACCAAGGTGTTATGTGATTAAGGCTTGTTAACACCCTGCTGTGACTGTAAGATAAAGCCAGATGACAGTTATTAGACCTGCACTGTTATTGTATGATCATCCAGAAGGCCTATTCTCAGGTGAAAGGTGTTATTTACACTTGTGTGGATGAATAGTTTGTCCAAAGCACCAGGACTGTGCTTGAGTTTCAACTGGCTTGTTCCATGATAAAAGACATGATAGGGCCCGTAAGTAGGTCATGGCACTTCCCGATACCTTAGTACTTCTGGTGACAAACATTTCATACCTTTTTGAATGATGTCCTGATTGTCAGTTGAGAGTAAGGAACCGATAACCCTTGCAGGAATAACAAATTTCCGAAGTTACCATACCCAAATTAGCCAACTATTACAACTGTCAACAGCTGTGACAGGCAAGCATGGTTGTACACTTGCTCCCGTCAAGTAAAGTCGTATTTGGCAGTCGCACAATTTGGAACCAGAACTGGCTCTTGAATATAGGTTTGTTACCGGAAATCTGGTACCCGGAAGTAAGCTGGGCCCAGTCTCGCATCTTGCACGTTGGTGTGCGCCAAGGGAGCCGGGAACCAGCTTAGTACCGGAAGTAGCATCTTGTGAGACTTACAGGCCCTATTGTGAGTTTGTGGAGAATCAGACACTGATGACTGGTTCTCAAGGCCAGGCTGGAACATGTCAGCCAGTCAGAGCTGTCAACTACATCAGGCAGGAAGTCTTCCGGGTTACAATACAGCTATCTGTGGGAGCTGTGAGAAGCCAGGACCATTTGGGTCTGGCAGTTAGATTTGGTGGTTTTGTTTTATAGCATGTTCTTGTATCCAGATTGTGTGGATGATTGCTCATGATATTGATCAGTCATTGGAATGTCTTGTCAACACTTGATCAGTACAGCCAATGTCATATAGCTGAAATATTGCTGAATGTGGCACAACAAACAAAATGGCACAATGAAGGGACGTCAGTGCAGATACACGTGTCAAGATTTACATGTCGTACAAATATCAAACTAGTTCACGAGTTGTTCTACTTGGAGTAAATCTTGCAGTATCAGTGTTTCAAAAGCATGGCTTTGTCAAATAAATCTATGATAAAAATAAATATGAAAATATGAATATGAAATTCATATGTGTATGTGACTGATGACAAAAAGAGACTATTGATCCAATATATTTTTTTATGTTAATGCAAAAAATACCTTTGATCTTATCTGGAAATTGGATTGATATTCATCTTATATGTAAAACAGTTTATTTTTATGGAATCACGAAAATTGAAGTGACTGTATTCTTTGAATGAGAGCATAATGCCTTGTGACAAAGGAAAGGCAAACTTGATTAATGGTTAAAAAATTGTGAAAAAATAAATCTAAATAAGTTAAGTATCTTCATTAAATACTGTTATTTCTCTCAAGGATCAATAAGGTTGTGTGTGTTTTTTGCCTATCAAAATCCAAACTGGTTTTATGCCTAAAATTATCTGTGGTTGTAATGACTTCTGCATTTGAAAATTGATCCCCTTTTGAGGAAATTTTGCTCCACTGGTTCAACAAATATGGTTGCGAACATGGACAATAATATTTATGCAAACTCATTGAACTGCCACAGAGTCTTTTTTCTACGAGTGTTACTTTCACAAACTGATAATACCACGTCTAAGCCTGACGTCATTGCAGCACTTGTGTTAAACACAGAACAACCGGCTGAAATCAGTGGATCGCTTCAAGACTGTTTAATTAGCTACCATTACCTCAGAGCCTGGTATTGTTGCACAATCAATACCATTCTAAGGCTCCAAGGAATGGCCTGGTAAATCATAGACAGATAGATTGCCCTATCATCACAATTCTCCTACTCATTTTGCCACGTTTATTGTATCATTGATTATTTCAGGCTTAAAGGATATAGTGCTGCCTTGCTAAACTGTTTGCATCAAACCCTCTAATCTGTCTTGGTTCAAGAATCTAAGACCCACTATGATAATTAGCCAGCTGCTTTGGACAGTTATAATCAAAGGTGATGCAGCCTGTTTCAGACTCTTGACAGGATATTTCTCCCATGATAATAGAGAAAGATTTTTGTGACTGTGATTATGAACTATAGAAAGCTGATTCAGTGGGTAGTTGACCAAAGAACCATCAGTCTCCATTTACCCATTGGTCAAGATCATTCTTGTCCAGTTCCTTTGTCTGTGGAAACTGTACCCATTTTACCTTAGTGCTAAATGTCTGGAATCAGGCATTACTTAGGGTTTGTTCCCATGTTGAGCAAACAGGGAATGGTATTACTAAAATCCTGTTCACTGTTAAACATTAGGGAGTCCAATTTTACAGGAGCATGGAATGCACTCTTTCATTTCAATTTTGTATCCATCATCACAGGGATCTTTACAGGCCATGTCTGTATACATTTGTATGTTGTGATATTATTTATGTCAGATGTAACCCACACTGCATTATGTTCTTGTGGATTGTGATGTCATACAATTTTTAGAACTTTTTACCGCTTTATGTTTGGAATCTGTTTCAGCTGACTTGTGAGAACTTAAACTTCACATTGCTCTTATGTTTTGTTACATACAGTTTGTTGGATGTTAACAGTATTGCTGTAATATATGTTGTTCTGGTGAGCTTGTCATCCTTAAATGAAATGCTGGCCATCATATATTGTCAAATACTTTCCTGAACCTCAAAGCCCATGGTATGTCCTTCCCGACCTATGGTTGATGATAAACTGTCAGGACCTATCCCAGTGTACTGGATGATTCTGTCACACTAGCTGTTGTTTATAGCTAAATCAACCTCACCTGTCTGCCAGTGCAACATGTATAGTTACATGGCCATGATAAATCTGAATGAAAACACTACCTATCTGCTGTCAAACTTGTCAAGCACCACTTAACATTAGTCAAACAGACTGAGTGCACCCTATCATCAAATTGACAAAAGGCAAAAGGCTGATGATAAACATGGTTTACCAGGATGTCCCTTTACCAATGTTTATGTTAAGTTCGGTAAACTAATGTGTGCAGTCATCACTATAGAAAATAGCAAAATCTCCTGCTCGTTTATATATTGTGTATGTAAATTGTGTATACATTGCTGTGTATTGTATACGATGTACTGTGGTACTAAATATGTATAACATGTCCTTGACCCCTGCCCTTGAAGATGTTCTGTAGAAAATACTTCTATACAGTTTCTTAAGAAGAATTTTTTACTTGAATTACACTCTGGATCACACACAGGCTTCAGGCCATCTCATGAGAAAGGATGATGTAACTGCCCAGCTTCAATTCATGGTCATGTTATCATTTGTTCATTATCTGTTCAAGAACCCATCCCATCTTGAAGGTGGAGATCTGATAACCACGAGAGGGATTAGACAAGATGACCAGCATGACATAGTGAGGACCATGCCATTCTGGACAATAGGCTGCTAAATGGAAATCATTAAATAAGCATTTGAAGCAAGAAGATGCTGTGATAACATGACTGTTCCCTTTAGTGGCTGAATGACTATTGCCCAAGGCATGAGAATCTTGTGACCAATTCATAGAACTGCTGACAGTCAGAGAGATCATCTAGTTTACCTTTTTACACTGAAAGCTCAAGAAATATCTAAGAGCGTTTTTGTTATCTCTGGTTGTGGTGCCCAAGTCATGAAACAAAAACTTTGGGGGTGAAACATGTGTGACAGGTTTGGCTTTTTGTTGTGGTGAATGAGGTCAGGTGTTACAGAATATAGACAGTTTGAGATGCTGTTCCTGGATGCTGTTGGCAGATGGCACAGATTCTGAGATACTGAATATCATATTAACAATTAGAACATGTATACCAAGCTTCATGTAAGTATACATGTTTGGGGCTGGTTGTGTACGAGGGCCTAGGTCACATGTGGTTCAGAAACTTAAAGTCAGATTTAGGATGCGTCACTTCCCTTTTTGTCATTCACTTCCTTATATTTTTTACTTTTTTTGTGACTGTTTTAATCTGAATACCAAACATGCAACAGGGTTTTGTGAAGCCTCTTTTTCAAGGAAGACAATGCTGAAGCTGTGAAGACTTTTACACTTGACTGAAGACTGGAAATCTATTCTCCATATTCACAAGTCTGAAATAAGTCAAATTATTTTTGTTCAGTTTGATATATTTTGTTGCCTTTATAGAAATTGAATGTTAGTACATGTTAAATGTATTTCAATATCACTGAAAATAATTTAAAGGGTTGATCATTAAAGTAATGATAATAGTAGGTATATTGATAATGGTATTTACAATCATTGGTAATGAAAACAATAATGGAAAAACTGTTGATGATGACAACAATGACGACAACGGCGATGACAATGACTATGTGGTGGTACTGATTAATATTCACCTGGAGTAATTTCATTATCATCACATGTGATGTTTGGGGTTAAGTTTACTTATGGAACTGTTGTTAGTAGTGTCCGTTAACATGTCCAGAAGAATTTTTGTAAAATTGTGTAATGCAAGTATTGACCTCCTAAAGCTGACAAAGTCATGAAAAAGTCTTGAAACTACTTTTTTTCTTATTTATTGTTGAAGGTTGGCTATTAAAGCCCGAACTGTAAAGGTGGTCCACTGTGGTCCTTACACAGCTGACCAGGTGTGATAGGGTGAATTACCAAATGACACTTGGCTACACAGTTATCTTCACATGATTACCTCCTTACAAACAGGGACTTGTCACACATTGTATGGCATAGATGTTTGTGTCCAACTTGGTTTTCCAGGTGTTTTCACTGACAGAAGGACTGTGACAGATATAGGGATCTCAGTAACAACAATGAGTCAGCATGGGTTGGGTTTCGGGCTTCTTCTGGGGTTTTTAACTGTAAGGAGCAGATGCTATTCTGAGAAATGAGCCTAAACTTTTTGGTAATTGTTCTCACATAATACTGCTGTTGTAACCCAAAAGTAAGGGACTGCCTCAGGTTACTTTCAGGTTTAGGGTTTTGAATTTATGGTATGTTGTGTTAAGAAATGTCTGTGAAATTCGGATCATTATATTGTAAAGGTATTTTTTTCAGTATCAGAACAGTCCTACCATCAACTTTCCGTATTGTAATTCCTTGGCTTCAACATACTAATATACTGAAAGATGTTTCAACTCCTAACTAGCCTATTCCAAAATGGTTTTTAGTCAGCGTAATTTTCAACACCATTTGATTTCCCTCATTTTTCAAATATGCTTTTAGTTAAGTGTCTCTCCTGACATCTGATCCTTCATGCAAGGCTGACCTTGAGAATGGTAACATGTTTTCATGTATTTCAAACAAAAACACTATTCCATGAAGAAAAATAACTAAATGTAC